TCACAGTCTTTTGAGTTCTACGAATCTCTCTGACCTTTTTCTGATTTAAAATGCTTGTGCACATTTTCCTCCCATTCTATCTCGTAACTTCTTCTGTGATCCTTTTCATAGTGGTCCGTAGTGGTAGTGAAGCACCATGTTCTGGTCTTCGTGTCTCAGGGCTTCCGACTAATTAGGCCTTTGGATTATTTGTTTAAATGTGTCTGATTTTCTTCACTCTTCTTCTGTTGGGCATAGACCTAGCAATAGTTACATCTTCCATAGCCACTCACAACCTTATGAGACCATAGTTTGTCATAGTGTGGTGGCCCATGTGTTGGTGTGAAGCTGCTATTGATGTTTCAAATATCAGTTTCAGCTGGGGAATAGGATTCAGTGCAGCTTCCAGACTAAGAACAGACAATGAAGAAGGACTTGGCTCCTTACTTTGCAGAAAGTAGGCCCTGACAACCTTATGAACAAACCTGAAACACTGTCAGATCCTGGAGGCATAGAAGCATAAGGAATGGAAGCAGAATGTTGTTGCAGATAGAGTTATAGGATGGGCCTCAGGTTGGGAGGCACTTAAAATGCAACTGATGAGCAGCTGCTTTCTCAAAGTAGAGTCAACTGTGGTGATATGAATGGCATAAAGCCTGTGGACATGGAGACTGGGGAACTTCTTTTGTTGATTGGGCACAGCTCCAAATGAGAAGTAAAAATCTACTAGTAATTGAGACTTGCAATATACCGAAGTATGAACCTAGGAAAAGTTGGAAGTTTCAAAATATAAAATAGAACACATAAAGATAGGGATCCTAGGAGTTAGTGTGCTGAAATGGACTGGTATTGGCCATTGCGAATCAAAAAAATCATATGGTTGACCATACTATCAAGAGGAATGACTTTGCATTCATTGTCTAAAGGGGCATTTCAAGATCTATCTTGAAGTACAATGCTGTCTGTGACAGGATAATAATATCTATCTGCTATCAAGGCGACTCAGTCAATACAACCATTACTCAAATTTATGCACCAAATCGAGACATGAAGAAATGAAGGAATGCTACCACCGTCTTCAGCAGGAAATTGATTAAACATGCCACCAAGATGCATTGAAAACTATTGGTGCTTGGAATGCAAAAGTTGGAAACGAAGAAGGAACAGTAGTTAGAAAATATGGTCTTGGTGATAGGAATGAAGCTGGAGATTACATGTCAGAATTTTGCCAAACCAGTTATTGTTTACAGCAAACACCCTTTTTCAACAACACAAAAGATGATGTTACACATGGATTTCTCCAGATGGTATACACAGAAATAAAACGGACTACATCTGGGGGAAGAGAAGATGGAGAACTCAGTATTAGCATCTAAAACCAGGGACTGACCATGAAACAAACCATCAATTGCTCATATTTAAGTTTCAGGTTGAAGCTGAAGAAAATTGAAATTAGTCAACAAGAGCCCACACCTTGAGTCTATCCCACCCGAATTTCAACAATGTCTCAAGAAAAGGGTTGCTGCGTTGAACAGTAGTGACAGCAGACCTGATGAGCTGTGGAAGGACATCAAGAACATCATTCATGAAGAAAGCAAAAGGTCACCGAAAAGACAGGAACCAAATCATCAGAGAAGATGTCAAAAGAGACTCTGAAATTTGCTCTTAATCATAAATTGTTTAGGCAAATGGAAGAAATGATGAAATATAAGAATTGAATAAAAAATTTCAAAGGGCAGCTCAAGAAGACAAAATCAATTATTGTAATGAAATGTATAAAGCACTAGAGTTAGGGGGAAAAAAAGAACATGTTTTTCATATCTTAAGCTGAAAGAACTCAAGAAAAAAATTAAGACTCGAGTTGCAATATTTTGAAATATACTATGGGAAAAATATTGAATGATGCAGGAAGCATCAAAAGAAGGTGAAAAGAATCCACAGTATCAAAAGGAACTAATCGACATCCCACCATTTCAGGAGGTAGCATATGAGCAAGAACCAATGGTACTGAAGAAGTACAAGCTGCACTGAAAGCATGAGCCCAAAACAAAGCTCCAAGAAGTGATGGAATACCTACTGAAATGTTTCAACAAGATGATGAAACGCTGGAAGCACTTACTCATCTATGTCAGGAAATTTGAAAGACAGCTACTTAGCCAACTAACTGGAAGATATCCATATTGGTACTTATTCCAAAGAATGGTGATCCAACAAAATGCTCAACTTATAGAACAATGTCATTGATATCACATGAAAGTAAAATTTTGCTGAAGATAATTCAACAACTGTTGCAGCAACACAGGGAGCTGCCAGAGGTTCCGGCCTGATTCCAAGGAGGTCATAGAACAATTGATATCACTGCTGATATCACTGTTAGATGGATCTTGGTTGAAAGCAGAGAATACTCGTGTTGTAGTTACATAATTTCATGTCAATGTGAAGATATGTAAAAGTGTAGGGTGTTCAATCTGTCAATCAGGTCACAGTTGATGGTGCCTCAAGGGTGTGGCCTTCTCATAAGGAGGGTCCTGGGAACCTCCCCTTGTCTCTTTGCCTTCACCTTCCTGATGGCTGACCCTGATTGCTGCTAGAGCCCTGTATGTGGCCACTGCCATTGGATCCACATAACTTTGTACCCATCAGTCTGTTATATTCCTGAATTCTGCATTACTGTATGTGACTGTGTGAATCTGAAGAGGGACTTATGGACTAGTATCAGATTATAGACTTGATCTGGACTGTGCTGTGGTGTTTGCTTGATATGTAATTACTTATTGATATAAAGCTCTCTCTTACATATATATGTGTGTCTGGATTTGTTCTCTAGTCAACCCAGACTAACACAACCTGAAAGATTTTACATGTGTTTTATTGACTATGCCAAGGAATTTGTCTGTGGATCATAACACTATGGATAGCCTTGAGAAGAATGGGAGTTCCAGAACATTACCTTGTGCTCATGCAGAACCTGTACTTGGATCAAGAGGGAGTTGCGTGAACAGAACAAGGTAATAATGCATGGTTTAAAACCAGTGAGTTAGTTTATTGTGCCAACCTGGCTGATAAACACATGTGGGGTTCATTGAAGGGCAGAGAGATAAATGGCTTGGTGAGCCTCACCTTTCGAGTTCTCAGGTCTCTTGCTTTCTGATGGACAGACCAGGGTGCAGCTGCCTTAGCCAGTTCCCTGCTTTAGCTGGCAAGGTTCAATTCCTGCAAGACATGCCTGAGGAGAAGCCACATGGCCCTACCCCAATGCAGCCCTGGGTTCTGGAGCACCCGTGTGGAGACCCCTGCCAGTGCTGAGATGTTTACACATTCACTGACTCAGTTTTCCTCCTGAAGTCAGCGTCATTACGTCTGTTTTGTGAGATGGAGGACTTTGTGGGTTGGTGTTGGACATATGGGTTAATGGATTATGCTGGACTTGTGGGCTTGGGCAGCACTGGGTTGGGATGTTTTCTTGATCCGCACTTAACATTTATATAAAACTCTCTTATACATGAGTTTCTGTGGATTTGTTTCTCTAAATACCCAGACTAATACATCCAGGAAAGGTATGTGCCAAGATTGAATCCCATTAGCGTACTTATTCAATCTGTTTACTAAGCAAATCATCAGGGAGGCTGGATTATACGAAGAATTCAGCATTAATATTGGAGGAGTGCTTATTAACCTGTGATATGCAGATGACACAACCTTGCTTGCTGAAAGGTGAAGAGGACTTGAAGCACTTAGTGAAAGTCAAGGATTGCAACTCCAGTATGGATTACAACTCAATGTAAAGACACAAATCTCACAACTAGGCCAATACATATTATGATAAATGGAGAAAACCTTGACATTGTCAAGGATTTTGTGTTTCTTGAATCCACATTCAATGTACATGGATGCAGCAGTCAAAAGATCAAAGGATTGCATTTGATGCTGCATAAGACCTTTTTAAAGTATTGATTGAAAAGCAGGGATGTTACTTTGAGGACTAAGGTGCACCTGACCCAAACTATAGTATTTTCAATTACCTCATGTGTGTGTGTAAGTTGGACAATGAATAAGGAAGAGTGAAGAATTGATGCCTTTAAATTATGGTGGTGAAGAATATTGAAAGTACCACAGGCTGCCAAAAGAACAAACAAATCTCTCTTGGAAGTACAGCCTGAGTGCTCCTTACAGGCAAGGATGGTGAAACTTTCTCATGTGCTTTGGACATGAGACCGATTCCCAGAGAAGGACATTATGCTTGGTAAATAAACCCTTGACAATATGTATTGACATAGTGGCTTCAACAATGGCCTGGGACATAAGAATAATTGTGAGGATGGTACAGGACCAGGCAGTGTTTTGTTCTGTTGATGAGTCAGGACTGACTGGATGACATCTAACAATGAATCCCCATGATGAGAGATCTAACACAAGATAATTATCACCATAATGAGACCCACTATTAGCAGGCAATCAGTCGAAAGACGTTTCTTCAGTGTTGTGGCCCATTTCCAATGTATGTGGATGCCACAAAAAAACCTTGGTTTTGTGTTTGTTTTGTTTGCTGGGACTTAATCTGAATTGTCCTTCAACCACCAGGTCTTTGTACTAGAGCCAGGAGATTGTCATATTTCCAATAGATCTTGGGAGTCCTCAGATGCCTAATATCTTAGTTACTGACCTTGGATTGTCTTGCCTCTATAATCAGAAGCCTGCATCTGATCTGTCCATCTTGTGAGTCCTTAGTAGCCTATCTTACCTGTCAACCTTGGAAACATTTGCCTCTGCAGCCAGAAGCCTGCCATTTGACCTGCTGAACTTGGGTTCATCAGTCCTTGCATCAAAGGGTATCAGGAAGATTCTTCTGTTTGACACCTGATCCACAGAGTTGGAACTCACCCCCCTCTATCACTGTGTAAGCCGTTTCCTTGATATAAACCTTGTGTATGTCAACTTGAAGCTTATACATGTGTAAGCTTCACTGACATTGCGTCTCTAGAGGATGCAATCTATGATACAGTCAGTGATCAAGGGAAAGAGACTTTTTATGGTAAAATGTTTATTTACTATTTATAAATACATTTTAAGACTTACGCTTTGCAAAAATACTTTCCCTCACCCCCAAATTAACTAAAATAACAGGTAACAAATAGGTAGGATGCCTTGAGATTCCCTTGTAACGAAGACTCTCTGCAGGGTGTCGCACTGGTGGTTCTGGTCAAAGCCCTGTCCCATCATGCACCCCATTCCTGGGCTTATGGGATAAACTGTCACTCTCCATACACGGAGGGACGGTGATCTCTAAGTGAGTGTGGCTCTTACGAATGGACCCTCCAAATCATGGCCATCTCAGGTTGACTGTCTCCAACATCTCACCTAGGATTGATTATCTAGTACAGAGCCCCATTATATTTGGCATATATTGTATAAAATGTTAATCCTTAATTAAAGTATTCTCTCAGCATATATGTGTGAATTATAAAGAAAAACATAAAACAAGTCCAAAGTCAACAAGCATGGCTGACTGCGTGCTCACCCGGCCAGTCGTCTTTCTTCTGTGGATACAGATCTACCCAATCGTGCCAAGGAGGGCAAATGGCAAGAGTTGGAAATAAACCTCTGTCTTTAACGAGGTTAATCTCAGAAATCGACTTTGTCTTGAGTTGTTGAACTGTGTAACACTTTTTTTTCCTGTCAGTCTGAAGAGTTCTGCTATTATTTGTGATGCCCAGGACGATGGAGGGCTGCTTCTTACCAAACCCCCTTACCTTCCACCTGAAGGAAAGGTAAGGAGGGAGCTTATAACTAGCTGAGCCTCTGGGAGCTTTTGACAAAAGGGAGCCAGACCTACCTGCTTATATGCTTCCAGAGTTTCCTACAGCATTCTGGCTCTTTCTTTTAAAATGAAAAAAGCAAACAAGCAAGACCCTATCTTATTCTTTCCAAAACTTTTTTCTCGGGCGGTTTCCATTACATGCAGATATGAAGGATCTTCTTGGTTGAAGAAACCAGGTCTTTGCTCAAAGATGGTACACTCCAGGTTTGAAGCCATGATACGGAGCATCAGGATGTCCAACTGACAAGAAGAACAGAGTGTTGTTCTAGTCTTGTGAAGGTCTGTGCTCATTGTACAGTAAGAAGTGATGCCAGGATGTACTCTTGTAAGCAAAACAATTGCTTCGGGAACAAAGTCCAAGGGGACGGCTTCATGAAGGAGCGGCTGGGCTTGGGAGGTACTGAGTCCTGTGTGGCACTTTTGCTGGGGCTCATATGACGGCCCAAGAAAAATAAAGCTGCCCTCCAATCACTACTGGTCAGCGGGAAGATGCTCAAGTTTATCACTAAGAAAAATCACAGACATTTAAAAAATTACTCTCTAGACCCCTTTTTAAAAAAAGGATTAATTCACTACAAAAAGAAATAAAAATTGAGGCTGTAGCCAGCTGTTGATAATGTCCTTGGCAGTCTTTTTGTGCAAAATAAGGCGTATTTGAGCTCCACATTAACTACAATGGGAAGAAAAAGAGATATATTGAAATAAGAAAAAAGTCAAAATGGTTCTTGGGGCATCAAGGAAGAGTGCCTAGACAAGTACAGGGAGGGCTGGGGGGACGGCCTAACACCTGAAACACAGCAAAGACCTGCCCATGGCTGTCAAAAAGTCATGCTCTAAATTATTCTTCTCTAACTCGCGGTTAAAAAAGCTATGTCAAAATGAAAATTGCTTCTGTTTGTTCATTTGCCTTGAGAAGGTAGGGCTCCTTTATTTTCAAAAGATAAACAAATACTGATTATAATAGCATGTTTCAAATTGATGGTTTAAAATTTCATTTTATATTAGATTTAAATAAGACTTTATAAAAATTATATTCATGATAAACTAACAGAATAGTCATTATCTATTTTCAGGGGGAAAAAGCCATGTCTTTAACTTAAAACCTATTTCTTCTTTTTTTTTTTTTAAACCTATTTCTTTAACAAGTCCTTGTGGATTAAAACATTCTAAGTGCGAAGATAAATGGACAAACAGAATTGCCTGGGAAAGGCTTAAGACATTGTGATGGCTGGAAGGCTTACATGCTGCGAGTTCTTTTAAAACAAAACAAAGGCTTACATGCTGCGAGTTCTTTTAAAACAAAACAAAGTGGCTTTGTGATGGAACTGGCCGCTTTTCCCTGCGCTCCTCTCTGAAATGTCTGGCCTGTCTCTCTCTATGGTCTGTGGGGTGAGTTCTGCTAGCAGGCCTAGGCAGGAAGGCTATGGTCTTCCTGACGCCCCCGTGTTACCAGGAGGAGCAGCCAGTGGGGAAAGCGTGGCCATTCAGCTGGGACAGAGGTCTCTGAGGCTTACGTCAAGGTCGAGTCCAGCACACTGAGTCCAGGCGTCTACTTGCTCTCCATGTTGTAACAGTGGACTTCACCTTTCCCTTTAGCATCATAGCTTGGGAGTGGCTGGCCATACTTGTCCACACACCAGCAGAAGCCTCGTTTTCGGCCTTTGGAAGGGCGGCACTATGGAGAAAAGCAGAGAAGACAGAATGTCAGGATCCCCAGCAACTGTTGGGGGATGAGGGTGGGGTGAGTATGGGAGTGGGGAGTAGGGAATATTCTGCACAGCAGCACACATGCTCAGGGTAGACTGTTAAATCAATTACCAGGACCCTCTAAAGTAACGCCCTGCCCCGAACATCTGTGCTATAAGAGCAAAATAAGAAGATCAAAGCTGTCTAAACTGGCATATACATTGGGCCTATATGTAAACCCCTGTAGGTACAAGTTTATGTGTGTTTAAGTTCCCCAGAAGAACAAAGGTCACCCACCAGCTTTGCTCTTTCTGAGTCCAGATTTGACAGTAAACACTGCTTGCCCTCACTCAGGTCCTGGCAGACCATGAGATTCACAGGGTACTGGGTCTATGTTGGATCCTGCCTCTACCTTTCAGAGCACCGGTTGAATGTTACACAGATAAGCTCTTAGCATGAGCTTTTACAGTAAGTGACTGAGAAGAAACCACGGTGGAATAAAGAGGCAAAGGCGATGCTTGGTTACTGAGGGAGACATGAGTTCTGTGGATGTGACCAGTACTAGTTACACCAAGGCCTAACCAGCTTATTTTTATGGGTTTACAGATGCCATGGTCTAGTGTCACATTAGACTATCAGTTGAAATGTTGCCACAATTAATATATATTCTGCATAGATAATATTTAACTGTGATAGAAAATAAGCACATCCTAAATTTCTTTGGTTTCTCAGGGGTCATTCACTCACAGGACGACATCAGTAGGAAAGAGATAAGCTTGTCACATGGCTTGAACATTCTTGATCATGGACATTCAAGATGGCACTGCCCCTCATGATGGAGCAGTAACAAAAGAGTCAATGTGTCTCCTGAGGGGCTATTAAAAGTGCTCCTGGCAGCATTCCATTTGCTCCGCGGGCAAGGAGCTGGGCGCTCTGGGGTGAGACGCAGGGCAGACGAACAGGTGGCTTAGCATTCTGATCACTGGGAAGCCCGAGGAGCAGCACTTCACAGCTGCCCAAGGGTCTGTTCTCCGGAGGTAGACAGTGTGTTGCCACAGGCGCAAACACAAATGCTGCACTTAGGAGTTAGAACCCGGGCAGCTTCCTGACCTTCCAGGGCAGTTGGCTCTCCATCTCCATGGAAAGGGGTGGGGGTGGGGAAACACATGGAAGCTCTTACTCACCTGCTTTTTCTTATAAAATCCCTTCTTGTCACAGTTCGGAATGTGCACACCCCTGGGGCTCAGCACATTGAGGAACTTGAGGTGGTTCAGGGTGTCCTCCATCTCCCTGCGGCAAGGGCCCTGGAGATGCAGGGGGGCGGGACAATGGAGTCTGTTATTATCTTCTCACACAGAGGGGGTCAGCACAAGTGGAACCTATAATGTGCTCCTCTATCCTGCCTGATTGAGCAAGACAGCTCTCCTGAGGTGCCAGCTCTCTCCCACACGGTCTTCTGTCTGCCCAGTAAGATGTATAACGTGGCATGCAGTGGATCCAAAGGGCTCTGTGGACACGTCTGTGGCATAGAGAGTACTTTCCAACCAGGTCCACTACTCTTTATGCAATCCGCGGAGAGGAAAGGACGGCGTTGGTGGGGAAGGAGGTGAGGAAGAAGCACCTGGAGGCGGCCTACTACAGCGACCAGAACCACCGGGCGCTGCGGACTGGGCTTTGAATGGAGTTACATGGCTCTACCTCGCTGTCGTAGGTGCTATTGTGGGTGCTGACGCTCAGCGCTTCTTGCATGCCACTCCCCCCACCCCTCCCCCGCCTCCAGGAAGAAGAAAGGTTCTTACGTATTCTGTTTCCCGTTTGGACTCGGAGGAGAAGTTCTGGGTGTCCGTGCTCTGAGACTCGTAGTCCACTTTGTAGCGCTGGCTGTCTTTGGCATGGCCCTTCTTGATGACGTCGATCTTGGTGTGGAGGGGAGGGAAGTTGGGGTCTGGCACCCGATGTGTGCTGGGGAACGCCTGGCTTTCTGTGCTTCCAGTAGTGTGTTCTTCTTCTGACTCACTGGCATTTCCTGGAAAGCACAGAGGAAACAGAAATAACCGCATGAAATCACAGATATCAACACTTAACAGCACAGTCGTCTTCCCCAACGTTTGCAATTGCAGCCGGACTAAGCTGTCAGCGTAGAGGAGACATGACTCACGATGACACACCCATGGGTGTCATCACAGCGGAATTACGGTCCATAGGGGTTTCAACGGTTGGCTGTTTGGAAATGGGCTGCCGGGCATTTCTCCCGTGGCCTCAAACCCCCAACCTTTCAGGTAGGAGTAAAGAGCAGTCACTATCGTAACCACCTGGTTACGATGTTGAAATAGCAATGCTTTCTAACAATCATAGTGTTTTTCCCTCAAACTTTGATAAAGTCTTATCCCACAATACTGTTAGCTTCACTTGATCAACAGAAGCTATCTTTTAAAAATTAAATCTTCCATGGGCTTTTACTTAGTAAGTGCAACTCAAGGAAGTAAAACCATGCTTACGCTGTTGGCGTTCCAAGAGATGGTGACTTGTAACCAACTTTCAGAAGCCACCACAGAATGCAGACCTGAGCCACCGAAGGCCACGGCTGCTCTGCGCAGTCTCTGTGTGTCTCAAAGCAAGGTCCTGGTAGAAATGTCCTTTCTTGACTCTGCCCCAGAGATGTGCAGGGAGGGCTTGGCAAACTGGGCTTAACAAGTCTGCCAGGGCTTCTGAGGCTTTTTCATTTGACAAGCGCTGTCGCCGGAGCCTTGGTGGCCTAGAGGCTCCACGTTGGGCTGCTAAATGCAAGGTCATCAGTTTAAGACCACCAGCCATTCTTTGGGAGCAATGGGACGCTCTACTACCGCAAAGAGTTACAGTCTTCAAAACTCACGGGGACAGCTCTACTCTGCCCTGCAGGGTCACTGTGAGTCAGAGTGGACTCCATGGCTGTGAGTTTAGTTCTGGTTTCGTCTTCACGGGTGTCTTCATGGGTGTTGGGCTCAGATGGGCCGAAGTTACATCTGCATTATATTACTGCACGGACTCAGTCATACAGGTTTTTAATAGTGTGTTTGATAGGTCCCACTGTCATATATCTAAAAGCCCATGCCCCATTTAAGAATATTGCAACTCCCTGGACACCAACTTACATCTCAGAGGGCACATTTAAGCCCCATTCCTGTCACGTATGAGAGCTTTCAGAGCCTGAAGAAAGGGTACAGACACCTTCTGCTACACCAGTGCAAATAGAAGACAGCTTCATGTTTGAGCGATGCCACAATGGTAACAATTTAAGTGTGGTTTTAAGTACAGTTGACTCTGCATTCGTGGCTTCCATGATGTGGATTCAACTCACAAGGGGGTGGAACATATTGGGAGCAGGGAGCAATAAAGTGGTCAAGACAGTTCCTCCAAGTCTAAAAGGGAGCTTTAGGTGCTATTTACATTGCCCTGGGTATTATAAGTAATTTAGAGATGATTTAAAGAATACAGGAAGATGTGCCGAGGTTATATGCAAACACTACACCATTTTATACAAGGAACTTAAGTCAATTCTCACACACCCCCCCATCTCCCCATGGATACCACGTGATGACTGCTTATGACTGCATTTGTAGCTGGAATGTATAATAGGATTTTCACTCAATTCCTTCATCAAGCTGTACTTTGAGAGATCATGAGAGAAGGGTCCGTGGTGTGTCTCCCTCTTGACTGGCTGGGCAAGCATGGATCAGAGACAGCCTGTTCCCAGGCCCCTAGGAAACACTGTGGGGCATCAGAGGCTCCAAGAGGCATCAGCTTCAATCTTTAGGTCACCGTTAGACTTTCTCCTAAGCAACAAACAGGGCTCAGGCCTTAGCATCTACCCTCTTGGCATGGAGCACGCAGATCCATAATTCTTCTTCGATTGGCATGGGGTCCAAAGGGCTCTGCTTCCATTGAACTGCTCTCTGCCCTCCAAAGAACTTGCTCAGCACTGTGGCAGCCTGCCTGCTGGGGGCAGTACCAGGGCTGCAGGCTCTGTGCAGTGGCAGCTTTGAGACTGCTCCCAGCCTCCTTTCTCTTTCAGGAACCACATCCTAATCAGACTTGGGCTCTGGACACCAGAGAACTCCCCCTCCTCTCTGGATCTAGGTTTTTGCATCTGCAAAATAATATTATGTGGTTCAGCTGCAAAATCCCCCCAGGAGTTTAGTATAATGGGAGGCATAAATTCCAAGTGTCTGGCCCAGAGCCTGAGAGAGTAAAGTTCTTAATTTACATGATTTATGATTTATCTTTGTTCCCCCCAGCCCCCTTTTCAGGGAAGTACTGGCACAAAGGAAATACTAAGAATCTGTAAATAACATGTTTGCATTTCTTTTCCAAGAATCCTGAGTCATTTCTTGCACTTCATTGGTTTCTTTCTAATGTCCAGACTGGATATGAAGGAAGAAAACAGTTCCATATACGTAAGGAAAAGGGAATTGTGCCTTTTCACTGTCATATAAGTTTACCCCCCCTTTTTTTTTCCAAAGTAGGAGTCCTGGTAGCATAATGGGTTTGAATTAGTTTGTGATCTGATCCACAAGGTCAACAGTTCAAAACCACAAGCTGCTCTGGGGAAGAAAGATGAGGCTTTCTACTCTTGTAAAGAGTTATAGTCTGGGAAATCTACAGGGGCAGTCTACCCTGTCCTATAGGTTCACCATTAGGCAGATTTGGCTCGATAGAAGTGAGTCTGTTAATTTTTGGTTTATAATAAGTTACATCAGCTCATAATATAGAGTTATAATGTTAATTATAACAACACATTCAAGTGCACCTAGAATGACAAGGTCTATAAGCACTTCTAATAACACTTCTTGAATACCCCCACATGTACAACAAAACACCAATGACATCACTATGCCACGAGACAAGTGATTTTATGCCTATAGGAACCAATGAATATTTTAGGGACCGGTAATAGGAGTGTTGCTCTACCAAACTCCTGGGCCGCCTTTAGAGCTAACCTTCTCCAGGGGGAAGATGAGCAGCTACAGAAATTATACAGGGTTGGACCCTGCTGCCCAAGGTGGGGGTTTAGTGAGTTATGTCCTCCAGGGTGGTGGAAGGGAGACCCTCCTAGCCTTCAGCTTTCCAGATGACCTCACAGGAGCGTCCCCTTATATCACCAAAGGCTGGCTCACTTGGCTTGAGATTCATAGGGGAGCTGCCAACTCCATCTGCACTTTTCTGAAAGGAACAATGTGGTGTTCTTCATGGGACAAGACATCGGTGATAATGGCTGATAAAGGAGGAATAACACTTAGCAAAGCTTATTTGCTTCTTTTCTCTTCAGGGGCTCCCTTAAATAGACCATCACCCCCCACCCCACCCCTTTCAGACGTAGAAGGGAAATGCAGTGGGCTTATTCCGATGACCTCGCCTCTCTCTGAAGTCAGTTCTGCAGCCATGTCTTCGCCCAACCTGACTCCACTCAGGGAAGGTGAGCTTGGGGCACACAGGTGGGATAAGAGGAAGAATTTGCAGCCGAATCTTGGAAATGGCTGTTAGATTTTCGAATGTCAAAAATATTAACAATACCTTACACGCGCCTCTTGAGCCCCAACCTTCCTAATGCCAGGACCCTTTAATACAGTTTCTCATGTTGTGGTGACCCCTGCAACCATACGATTATTTTCGTTGCTACATCATAACTGTAATTTTGCTACTGTTATGAATCCGGCGACCCCCGTGACAGGGTCGTTTAATCCCCCAAAGGGGTCGAGAACCGCTACCTTAGGACTACCCCAGGTCATGGCATTGCTTGGCAAATAACAAAGCCGTGGAAACTTTATTTTAAAGGACTGGTTCTATTTGGCAGGTGCCTGTTCACCGTTCGCCTTTCAATCTGTCCCCTGGCAGCTGCTCTCCCTTGCTGCTCCTGTTGGGGTACAGGAAGCCACTCTCCAGAGTTCTGCTGCCCATGCCCATTTATCTGCGTTCGCCCAGCCTGGAGGAAATCTCCAGGTTGGCAATCTTATTCCAGAACCACCTCTGATTCGACCTCTCCTCCCCCCTCGAGAGACTTTTACCAATTTCGCTGACGGAGCGTTGCAATTGCCAAGGCCTCTCCCCTTA